CGTTGGCGTTTAGTGTTTTTTGGATCGGTACAAAAATTGACTGGAGTGTGTGGTATCTCACTCGTCTATGTTGTTTAATATTTCCTCCAGGGAGTCGTTCTCGTCATTCGGCAGCTTGATTATCTCTGTATATACATCGTCTGGTCCTCCTGATTTCCTTGTTTGCTTTGTTTAATTGCCTTGAGGTCTTCTGATTTCAGTATTTTTGGAGAGATTTCACCTTCATTGAAATCTCTTTTGGTATTCTCCTCTGCATAAAGTTGTTGCGTGTAGTTCTTCCAATGGCAGAGGAGTTCCTTGGGATTAAAGATGATACTGTTGTCCTTCACTATGTTATAAAAAATTGATGCAAGGCTTTATTCGGCCTGCAACTTCTTTCACTTAATCAATGTGTGCTTCTCCTCCAATTATTCCGTTCTGTGCACCTTTCTCGTAACCATTGTTTCTTGGCATTATGAGTCCCATTCGTTCTATTTCGAATCTCCTTTTTGATCCTTTTATACTCAGCCTCGTTCTTGTTTTAAAAAGTTATTCATCATATCATATCAAGTCCTTTCTGCTGAAAAGCGTTCCGAAGTTAATGACATTTTGGTATGTCATTTGTGGGTAGTCTGTGGAGTAAAATCAAAATTTTTGACCTCGAGGACCCTGTACTAGCTTGGGGGGAGTCGAAAAAACACGAAATTTTCGGACTCTTTCAATTTTTTGCTTATATTTGCGAAACCATGCGTTTTAGCGGAATACACCTAGTTATGAAGTTGAAGAACAATAAATTTTCTTCAAATTTCACTAGTGTAACGTGTTATTCAACGCAATAGTAACCAAGAAACAGTGGTTCAAATATACAGAAAAATCCTCAACTAGTCAAAAATTTCTTCCAGTCGACCACAACTCAAACTAAGCATGGGATAAACATATTTTATCCTCATCTCTTTCACGGGCACCCACAGACGATAGGTATATGTCTACTGTGCATATGAATTATTTTCCGCGTTAACCGCAACTAAAACCTCCAAATTACCGGACTTTTCCAGTTTTTTGCTTTTAACTTCTCACAAAGTTGAAGAACCTCAAATTTGCTTTAAATTTCACTGGCCAAAAGTATTCGATCTAATAGTTACTGAGATATAGTGGTTCAAAAACTCAAGTAATTTCTCAGATTATAAAAAATAGCATAGAAATGAAGGTTTTTGCCCTATAACTTTGGAAAACACAAACTTTGACTATTAGTTCAGCAAAGATCGTCGATAACGTTTTACTGCTTTGGGGCTTTGATAACCTATGCCAACAGGATACCCATCAAAAACCACCAGCATTGCTTTCGAAGTATCTTTGAACATAATCCATGTAATTCTGGCACAATTAAAATGTCGTACCTATCTCTTGATTTGCTCCACACAACCTTATGTAGCAGGTACCCACCATCAATAACTGCGCATTTGCTGCTGCCGAAGTCTACTGGTTCTTGTATAAATGTGAATGCCGCATACAACATTGACTTTGTGCCGTGCCCTTGTGTATTCCTCCCTCTGTGGAGAGAGACATCGGGAAGGGGGCTAGCCCGTATTTCAACAAGTTTCTAAGGTCATTATCTGATTATTTTATTATGCGAATCCGTTGGAAGAGAGTGAGGGTCTCCATTGTGAACTTTTTGTCTTTAATTTTCACACAACAGGAAACAGGTGCTAGAGAAACAACCTTATCTTTCCGCTTCAATTTCATGTCTTGAAAATTCCCTTTTTCCAAACAAATCTTCATACAGGTGATACCAATAGTTCGAGCTAAGTGGCAATTCACAACTTCAGGAGCAACAGCTCCTGTGCCTATTGAGAATAGCTCTTTTGTATCCAGGAAAGGTGGATGGTCAGTACATGCGAATTCAGCACGGATGACGTCAAAATCAAAAAAGTTTTATTTTCCAAAAATAATTATTAAAATAGGCTACAATAAGAAAATAATTCAGAGGTACAGTAGAGTGAGTGCACGTGAGAATGAGGATGAAAGATGTTTATCCCATGCTTGGTTTGAATTATGTTCGGACGGGAAGAAATCTTTGACAAGTTGATATTTTTTTGTATCTTTGAACCTCATACTCGGTTACTTTTGCGTTAAAGAATACTTTGGATCAGTTAAATTTGTAGGAAATTTAATTTTCTTCAACTTTATAAATAGGTATGTCCCCAAATTCAGAAACTTGTATGATGTTGAATTGGCGAGCGGCGGCTTTTGTTTCTGAGTGGAGACACAGATTGATATGGGTTCTATTTGCGGGTTCGAGAGTAAAACACAACTGTGGACTATTATTTTAATATGATTTTATTTAAAATAAATTTATCGGGCGTCGGCCAGAAAGGCTTGAAAAATAATAACCAAAATTTTTACTCTGACTTATTTAAAATTTCACTCTTTCCTCACAAATACCTTAATTCTATTATAAAAATTCCATCTAGTAGTTTATCATATTCAATAGGTAAGTTTCGTACCAAAAGTTTGCCTTATCAAAAATGATGTTAAATTAGAAAGTTCAAATTTTTCCAATTATCAATTACGAGAATCCCAATTTAAAATGTTATAAATAATTATGAATAACGAAATATGTTTCAATAACAAAATTTCTTTTACAAAATTTAGCTTCAAATTTTCTTATTTTACCAACTATTAATCATGAAATTTCATCTTAAAAATGTTTTAATTCCTTTTGGGATAATTATTTAACTTTCGTAAATTTATCAATTCATTAACTTTTTGTCCTATTTTATAAAGAGTACATATTTCCTTCTTACAGTGTAAATGTACTTACAAGATGTATTTATTACTTTAAAATTCTACTGGCACACACGTAATTACTGAAACGTTATTTTTTCGACTTGACTTTATGAACCCGCAATTTTCGCACTGCTTCCTTAAAACTTTTCGTACTCTGCTTGCTGCGACTGACACTTGACTGACCGTTCTGGACTGACTGTTCTCGACTGATACTTTTGACCGTTCTTGACTGATACTTCTTCTGAACCGACACTGTTATTTTTATCGCAATTCAGGCTTTTTATATAAAAATTGTCTCCTTCCTTCCTTTGTTCTTTCGGCCTAATTTCTCCCCCAATTTTATGAGTGCTTTGACATCAAGATTTCCTCATCTCGGCCCCCTTTTTAGTGGAATGCGGTACCGTTTCTTTGTTGGCATACAGCACGCGCCGGATTTATGGTGCTTTCCCGGAATTTGGGTTCAGTGACAGATTGCCTCATGTCAGTAAGGTGCCGCGTTTCAGGGACACATTCCAATTGAATCATCTATTTTTGAGTGGCCCCACTTATCAGATTATTGAGGAGGGATTTCAGTTTCTGTTGTTTCTTTATTCGATGGTCAGATCATTTTTACTAGAAGTTCCGGCTGTAACTGGTTGAGTGTTGTTGTCTCCTGGGGTGTTTATTTTTCGGTAAGTTGTAGTTGAATTTGATTTCATTTTTCCAGTTTGATCTATGTTTTGTTTGTTTAATTTTTCAATAAAATAACCAGATCTATTAACAATTATTTTATTCTTGGCGGTTTTTCTTGGTGGTTTATTTCTGCGTCACTACAGTATATTCCACTAAAAACACATGGTTTAGAAGTTATGAGCACAAAACTGAAAAAGTTCGAGAATTTCTAGGTCTTTCGACTTCCCAAAAAGTTAGCACAGGGCCCTCGAGGTCGAAAACTCAGATTCTGCTCCACAGACTATCCACAAACGACATGCGAAAATAATAACTTCAGAATACTTTACAGCTACCCCCTTTATTCATTACTTGCCTGCTGGCCTATAAGTATCAATACTTCCTCTGGCATCCATTTCTGCTTCTTGTTTCTTGCTGGCCCAATTTTGTTGTTTGTGACAGTTACGATGGCGTCCTTAAAGCTGTTTGAATTGTCTTTCACACTAGTCGGTTTCTGATTCAGAGACATGGTTCCGACGATTGCCTCGTTTACTTTTTCCTTGCTTTTTATTTGTACCTCTGGTTTCTTTATTTTGTTTATATCGATTTTCCTAATAATAGATCTTAACTTTCTTAATTTTTCTAAAACATTTCCCACTAACGGGATTGTTAGGGCTCTTAAGACCACGGAATTCGCAAAAAGACTTGAGGTAACACCGGTATAAGATTGTTTTGACCCAAGAACTTGAGCCACTAAATTGTTATCCTTGGCACCGAGAATTTGCTGTTGGAGTTTAGAATAACTTGGAAGGGATCCTAATTTCACGATAAAAAAAAAATCAAGATGAAGCTTCTTTTTAGTCAATTAGAAAATTATCTTAAAAAGCAAAATTGCCTTTTTTATTCTGAAATCATCCACGAGAAGCCTTTGTAATTCAAAGCATATATTACATCAATAACATCGAGAAATTCGTGGAAGATTACTATGGCTTGCTTGGACCAAGTTGATTAAATATGCAAATCAGTCAGCAAACAGTTCGATGCTGATTAGAATCATCATCAAAACCAGATGATTAATTCCGTTCAAACCTTATCTTTTAATTCCACCTTTTTGGCAATTATTTATATTTTGATTTCTACACATTTATTATAAAGTTTCTTGTAATTGGCATATCAATTCATCAGATGTTTATATTGTCGTGTACAATTTACAGTATACCTAATCTTCCGCTTGAAAAATAGGGTTGCAAAGTTGAAATAAAATTTAAACATGGTTCTTAGATAGTTTACACTATTTATGCAATATTTTCCGAAAAGTTTTTATCTTCAATTGTTTATATTTCTATTATCAACAATATCCTATACCTCAAAATCAGCTGTAAAATTAAGTATTACAAATTACAGTGTCAATATTTTAAAATAAAAATCAGCTTTTTTAATGCAGAAGCACTACCTTAGAGCATTTTGATAATTTTGGTTTTCACCGAATTTTGAAAAATTGCTAAATCACTTTTAGTTTAATATCGCCCCTGGTAGATCCTATCACCCTGATGCCTTAGCGCAAACAGACGATCAATCTTTTATAGCTATTTTATTGCTTATTACACCCTCTTCATCAAAATTAAACACGTCATCAAATTAACCGACTGACGGCAAAAAAAAAAGATATCCACCTTTCCTTACACAGACGTCGTTCGCCTTAATTTCTTCAGTATAAACTAGCGAAAAGTGCGGAATAATGATAACTGTATTAGTGTTTTTAGTAAAAATTGTTTTGGCTAAAGAAGTGTTTATAAGTGACAATGAAACTGATAATTTGTGCAGTGCAAACAATAATTGTTTTCGGAAATGCTGTCCCAAAGGAGATGCTTTAGTCGGTGACGAGTGTCACAACTTTTATATGCCAAGCCTTCCTGATCCCTTGACTGCATACTTTCCTAGTAGAAATGACTATTTTTTAATCAGTGGAAATGGAAATTTTTGTTCGAAACCAAACACAGTTCCTTTATACTTTATGACTCCGCAATTTCGATTTTTGGAAAACGCCGTCCAAATTTTGGAGGAGGAGGACCAACCGATTCTTCAGTATCCAAATTTCTGTTTGGAATGGTTCGTAGAAAACGGTACTAGTGAAGCTACTCTTGGGTTGTTAGCGTGTCTATCGACAACCGGGATGAAAACCTATAATTATGGTAAGCAATTTTGTATCATACTCGACTTCTAGATCAGCAACACAAATTAGTTTCAATTCCACCATAAAAAATCTACACAAGTAACTTTAATTATTGACATAAACAATAAGTGTGTCGATTCTCACATTGGTATACGTGTTTTCTTGAGGCAGCTTCTCAAATATATTATAAGAGGCATGTAAATTGTCGAGAGTATTTACTTCCAATTATTATTTTTTGTGATTCAGGAAGTTCGGTTTATTGCTTATAAATTGACCCACTTAACTTCATTTTCTCTATCATGAGAATCGTCCCGATGGGTTGATCAGCAATTTGATAAACTCTTGTTTTATTTTTAAAAAAATCCAAGTTTTGTTTACATACCATGACTGACCATTGCCCCAAAAATTACACACCCATTCAGGGACATTTTCAGGGTTGCACACATTTTATCACGATACCGTAACAATAAATGTATGTAATTACTTTCTACATTACACTAATGGTCGGTTAATCTACATCTAACTAATTACCTACTAAAACATTTCACCTAAAAAAAAAAAATGTTTCTGGTTCTGCATCAACAGTTCAGATACGTAAGAATCCAGAAGTGGCACAATCCAGATTTTTTATTTTGTCCGTTTTTTTCTACTGTGATTTATTTTTTGTTCCCAATACCAAAAGCAAATATTGATCACAGCAATGCAAATGACGTGTGAATTTATGATAATTTTGACATTTTTGTGTCTCAGTGAAGTTAACTCGTTGAACAATTCGATCGCGCTAAGAAAATGTTGCGAATCGGGGAAGATTTTCAAAAATGACAGTTGTAGTGTACACGAAGATATAAATTTATCCTCAACAAGATTCCTTGAAACTCACTTGAAGACTAATAATTTCATTAGTAATGACACTAAAATAAACTGGATGAATAATCATAACGACGATTATTGTCCGATCGGATATTCTCCTTTAAATGCGATTGGTTTTTGGAGTTTTCAAAACGATATCTTGCTTGATGAAATCGGAAATTATGCACCAGGGTTTTACTGCTTGGAAGTTTTTGATTTTTTAAACGATAGCGTCAGTGCTTTGGTTTGTGAAGTTCCATCTACAATGGAATCCATGGGTACTTATTTGGGTGAGTCGAGACAAATAACAATAAATGTTCAAGTGGTGAATAAAAATAGATGGCAAATTAATATTTTTTTTTTCATTACTGTAACGAGCAGAGGTTCGTTAAGTGCTTGAACTTGAAATAGATATTTTCATAACAAGTGAGGAAAATGATAGTTAGCTTTTCTTTTATGTATATTTGAATAAAACTGGTAGGTATTTGATGTAAAATAATTTCTTATAAATTTTATTTGGCTTTTTTTTCTTTTATTTTAATATTGAGTTTTTGACATTCTTTGTTTGGATTCTGGGACCAGACAATAGTTTGACGCAGTATTTTTTTTCCTTATCAAATACACATTAATGAAGCATTATGATTTATGAAAAAAGCGTGACACCTTGCCTAGCCGTGCAACCAATGTAAAAGGATTTCGTCACTAATAACGACGACTATACCATAAATATTTACCATTATGCGACTATGTTGTAAGTATTGTTATAGTTTATCTATTCTAAATTGAACCACTTTATTTTCAAGCTATGTATAAGGTACGATCAAATATTAGGCACCTTTGGCGTGAATAAATACTCAAAAAACCTATATAAATGTTTTGAATATTCCCTACTAGAAACTACAATCGGCAAAATGAAATACTGGTTGTCGGAATGAAATTTCGAAAAGATTTCTTCATGCTTATTTGCCTGGGCGATGCAACGTGACGCGACGGCGCGGCGTCGCCGGTGTAGTATCACAGTAGTTTGTTTTTTTTGTCAGAGGCGGAGGCAGGTTTATACCTGTGTATATTTTTATGAAATAATTGTTTAAAATTTTTAAAAAATATCTCCTAAACGGCACTGGGGCATGTATATTCCAAAATATCTCAAATAAATAAATAATAAATATAAATTAAATTTTACGTAGAATAATATTTAAATTATATTGATGTATTATTTCTTATGAAACATTTTTGGAAACCTCGCCGCCTATGCTTAATAAAGAAAACGCCGACTGTCAATGGAGATTTATTTTTTGTGGTGGTTCAATTGAGAATAGATAAACTTTACAATAAAGGATTGATATTATTATTAATATTATGGATATCAGTGGTAGGCGGATGGGTAACCAATGGGACCAGTGAGTCTTTCAGTATTTGACAGTTTGTTCACAAATTAAACACCATAATGCACTTATTGTGCCGCCTCTCATTTCTGGATCCAAACGGTTTTTAAATTGATTTACAGATGTTGCACTCTGTTTGTCAAGAAATTTCTTTTTGGTTACTTGTTATATTTCTCCTTCTCAAATTTCTGGCTATGTCCTCTGGTTATAGTGGCGAGGAAAAAGGTAATGTCACATGCATAGTGACCATATGTGATGTGAATGGACCTATTTGAGCCTTGGTCTTACATAAGCTTTGTAGAGCTTCAGAACTATTTCTTTGGATAGATTTTTGAAAAATCAATTCATTAGGTATATTAGTGAATTTGCTTTTTTCTTTATTTCAGTGATGTGTTGTTCCCATTTTATATCTGATGTGATTGTTATTCCTAGGTCTTTGTAGCACGAAACTATTTGAATTGACGCTTGCTGGAGGAGGTAATCATGTTTAGGGTTATTCCGGCCGATATGTAAAACTGTGCACTTGAGGTCATTCAATGCGGCATTTACCAAAACAGTGTCTACTCTTTGATGGTGTACAGGTCTTCCTAGAGGTCTGCAAACTGTAGTAGTGGATTGCAGGATAGGCTTGTTTGGTCTTCAGTTTTTGGTTTAAGTCACACAAATACGCCAAGAAAAGCAATGGTCCCAAGGCTGAGCCTTGTGGAACGCCGCTGTGTAAAGGATATTCAACTGAGAGTGATATTCCTGTCCTACCAGTACCCTGAGAGGTACGTCCAGTAAGGAATTTCTCTAGAAGTCGAAGTAAATCGCCTCTGACTCCCAAATGATAAAGTTTGTATAATAAGTATAAGTATATTATTGGTATCATCCAATACTTTTTCAAAGTCAAGGAAAACTACATCAATTGGATTATTCTCATCATCCGCCTTTGTCCACATATTAAGTCTGGTTAGGAGGTTGGTGAAACTTGATTTTTTGGGGATAAAACGATGTTGTTGGTGTGGTACAATGAGCTTCGAGGAAGAAGCTTGTGAGTTCCATAGTAATGATTTTTTCCATACATTTACATAGGGAGCTGATCAGGCTGACTGGTCTGTAGTTTTTTACTAGCTTTTTATTACCCTTTTTTAATGTAGGTATAACAACTGCTTTTTTCCAAGGTTGTGTTGCCAGAGACTCCTTTACAGTGTGTAAACAATTCTTAAGAAATCCAGGGCTGGAGTTCACCTTCAGGGACTTAATAGCGATTTCTACTTTTTCTGGGATGAAAGTTGCTTTCATGCTCTGGAGTAGGATTCAACTGAAAGTGTTGGTCTAATATCTATAGGGCTGGGTTTAGTAGAAACACTTTGGAATTGCTGTGCAAAATACTCTGCAGTTTCCTGGTAAAATTCAAATGGGACTAGAGTTATTTTGTCAACAATACTGAAGTGGGTGTGTTTAGAGTTAGGGTTAGAGTTCACGTAGGAAAAAAACTGTTTGGTGTGGTGTTGTTCAACAGATTTTGTTCATATTGTTTTCTTGCTGTGACTGTACAACTTATTATTTTGATGCTGACACTGTTGGTAATTGTCTTTAGTATTGTTGTGTTGTGCCTATATTTGTGTCACAAGTCTCTTTTCCTTTGTATTTCCCTAAAAACTGCCGTAGTTGACCATGGTTTTTGGGTATTAATTTTTTTGTGGTGTGTATGGCAGATGGTTGTAAATCCCAGAGCCTCAGAGAATTCTTCAAATGAATGTGGGTTAGTAGCCTGTTCAAGTTGATGCTGAACGGTTTGGTTTACTTCAGTGTAATCTGCCTTCCAAGAGTTCCTTTTGTAGATTTTATGTGTAGGCTGTGCTGTGTTTTGGTAGTTATTACAATGTGGTCACTTTTTTCAAGACGTGTATATTCTTGAATATCAAAAATCAATTTCTTCTCATTTAAAATAAGGAGGTCAAGAAAAGATGTTTGGTCGTTCCGGATTCTTGTAGAAAAATTTATATGTTGTTGACCTGCATGGTTTTTGTAGCTATCCAGAAAGTCTTGACTACACTGGTTGTGCGGATATACTTCCAATGTTTTCCAGTTTATTTCGGGGTAGTTGAAGTCTCCTATTATGTACACTATTGCATTTTCAATAACTTTTACTAGTTCTGTGTTGTGTTCTATGCCTGTTCTTTGTTCAGGTCTGTAAACACCTGCTATAAAAAAAATTATCTTACTTAAGGCAATATCAAGCCATAGGAATTCAATGGGTCTTGGGGTGGCATTGATAATGATTATTCAACCATGTTTCGGTGATTAGAATTATGCATACGTCGGTATTTTGTATGCTTATCTATAGTTAATCAATCTTGTTTGTCATCGAACAGATTGCTATACCACAGAAATACTTCAATTAGGGATGTTTTCAGTTTTTTGATTCTTCTTTAATTTTAACAATTTTGGGTATGGAGTTTATGAATCTTTATATCATTATCACCTTGATCATTTCTTCTTTTATATTCAGCCAAGAAATCTGCTACCTAAACGTTTTTTCTGCTTTTGGGTTTGGTCATTCTTTATGTAGACACCTAGGCACTTTATTCTCAAAACCGAGGATCAGCGTTCTCATGAGAACGATTGCTCTTTCCTTTTCAGTGTTATGGAAATATGAATACGGACAACGAAGACAGAACCTTCGTTCTCATGAGAACGCTGCTACCCTGTTTCGAGAATAAAGTCCCAGCAGTGTTGTATAGTTTGTATTTTTGTCTCAATGCTTTTTTTGCATGATTTGTTAGTGTGAAGGTTATTT